TCATCTCTCTCTTCGTTGCGTTGAACGACAGCGTCATTTCGATGATCGTCTTCATTATCATCAAAATCATCATCGCTTTCGTCGTCAGTGTCGTCAACTGCATTAACGGAACATAGTAAACCGCCTTTACTTAAATTGTTGAATATGTGCACGAACAAGTCATCAGCCTTGTAGTCAATTCCCAACATGTTGCATATTGTAACTAATTCGCTGCTTTCGAAATTTGCAGTAACGTACTCCTGCAATGACTTAAAACCCTCGTCATCTTGGCTAAAGTCAAAACCTACAAAATCCCTGAGCCGTTGCCTGTTATTTCTATCGCCTCCAAATTGAAAAACAAATTTGTGTAATAGTGCAATACTCTCCCTTCTACCTTTAGACAGAACATGCCGTAGCGAGTCGATTCTGCCCAGCGACGCCATTTCATGCAAACACTTATAACTTTTTCACACCAGCTTGATCCAATATAGTTTGTTTTAACACAGTTTTTTATCACTACAGTTTTTATTTTATCTCGGGCGAGCCCCCAAAATGTAGGAATTTTATTACTATATTGATTTGAAAGTTGATTTTAAAAACATTAATACAATTAAATTAAATTAGAGTGATACAAAATTACAAAATGTATATAAGAAAAAAATGTTTCGCGCTACTCGACCGTTTTCGCTGAACACCACGAAGCGACTGACTACCTCTTCTCTTTGTAGTCATGGCAACAAGAATTCGTTTGTTCTGCTCTTTTGTCGTACTGCACAAACACACCCCACATATATTTATATGTATAAGTTTATATAATATTTATTAATTATATACAGTCTATCGAAGTGGCCATCGTAAGTCATGAACGCAGTGTACTGCTTACTGCCTTCTTCTACGGCGATTTGATGATAACCAGACATGAGATCGAGCATGGTAAAATATCGGTTACCAGCTAACGAAGAAAACAGCTCTTCCATGATCGGCATAGGAAAATGTTCTTTGACTGTGATTTTATTCAGCTCCCGGTAGTCAACACATAGGCGATCTTCCCCATTCTTTTTTTTCACCAGGACTATTGGTGACGCAAAGGATGACTCACTTCGACGAATAATGTTGTTTGAAAGAAGTTCGTTTATAATTTCTTTTACACATTCACGTTTTGCAAAAGGGAGTTGATATGGTCGTCTACTAACTGGCACATCTGACTTTAGGCGAATCGATAATTTCTTTTTGGTATATTTACTCAGCTCTGACATTTTGGAAGCAAAACAGTCAGCGTAGCTTACCAACAACTTATTTAACTCATCTTTGGGATTTTCATTTATATTGGGATCAACGCTCAAATTGGTTAGTTCAATTTTCTCTATTCTACTGGAACCATCTTCTATAACAAATCGTACCCCTGGGTGGCACAGCACGTCGTTACCCACCAAAATTGGCTCGTTCATGAATTCGTCCTCGATAATCAATAGAGATACCAAAAATTCTATTGCGTCTATCCGTAAAGTTACATTTAACTGTGTTGTACATTCATAACCACCGCCAAACATCCCTTGCAACGCACGTCCTGTATACGGTATTTCACCACGAAACATTGTAGCATAACTTTTTCTAATTAAAGACACTGAACTGCCTGGATCTATAAATGCTGTTAAAACACACCATTTATTTGTACTTCTTTAATGATTCTAGATAACGGAGAAATTTTATTCTTGTTAATTTTCTTTACCGGCTTTTTTCCAAATCTACAATTTGCTTCGGTGTGACCTACTTTCTGGTAGTTTTTACATCGTGAGCGTTTTTGTGGTTGTTTGCAATTTATAGAAACGTGTCCTTCCTCGTTGCAGTTATAACATCTTATCCGTGCATTTTCACCTTTTGTATTTGACGTTGGAGGTTTAAAAATCGGTTGCCTAGCAATATTTTTATCCACTCTCTGTTGAACTCGCAGTGGCGCATTTGCTAAATGCCTTCGTATTGCAACTAGAAGATCATTTGATGTCACGTACAAATTGCTAGCCAGCGACTGCTGCATTCCATAGTCGTTTAGTCCTTTGAGAATATATTGATTAATTGAATTATCTTGCATAAGACCTCTACGACCTATTGCCAACACTCGATAGTAAAACTTTTCGTGACTTTCATTCGTCATTCTGGAACAATTCATTAACTTCATGTGTACGTCAGAATCGGTGTCCGTAGATAGAAAATCAAACACTATCTGATTACAAAATTCCATCCAATTAGAAAAAACACATGGTAAACTATCGTTCCACATCTTTGCTGGTCCTTTTAATTTCGATTGTACACTGTACAACAACAAACGATCATCCCATTGGTATGCGCTTTTTAACATATTTATGCGGTTTATAAAGTGCTGCGCTGTTAAGCCTTCTTTATCAAGTGGGTTAAACTCCGGTAGAATTTCAATTATATCGCGAACATTATGTTGATACCAATATTGTTGCGGTGGAAATGAAGCGTTTGAATATGCCAATTTGGGCATTAGAGTTGCTGACGAAACGTGCGTATTTGAATAATTTTTATCTATATTTCGTTGATGTGTAGATATCGAATTTGTTGTTACAAGCTGCGGCGCAAATGAACATGTCGGCGTTCGTGAATTTGCGATTGACATCGTTGCATTTTGTGAAATTGACGAACAAATTGGTATTGAACTATTTGGTATTGCTGCATGCGGTGTAAAATACACAAACGGTGGAGTCGTTACCATTGGTGTATGCGTGTATGCATTATTAGTAATCGGCAGAGCAGTGCTCGTTACGGCATCACCCGAAGGTTGTCGGCTGCACATGTTAGTCGGAACATGCACAGAACCTTCCGGAATTGGTGATGATGATCAATCCTGAGTCATACAGCTGTCGCACCCATAAAATACACCATTCAAACTATCCAATGTCGCCGTTTGATTTTCAGTACTGAGTTCCGCGTTTACGATCCTTTTTATTAGCTCTGTCTTACTACCGACGGTCGACAAGGCTAGTTTTCGGCACTTTTCTCTAGTTCGGCATTTTTAATTTTGGATTTATTATCCCACTTCTGAAAAATTGTCATTAAATTATTATTTCAATATAATATTTAAAATAACAAATGTCATTAACGAAACTGAGACACGTCATTTATTCAAATTAAAGAGATTTTAAGTAATTATATATATTTAAGTATAACATATTTCATCAAAGAAATTAACTACGAAGACGCTTGCGAATAACTCACCTCTCAAAACATAACAACGTTGTTAAACTTCATTGTTAAGAATTGACAATTAATGAATAGGGTGACACATGTTTGTATTTTGTGTGAGTACTTGGGAAATTTCATTACAACTGAATACTATGCTCCTCCGATAACGGCGAGGTCGTGGATGAACGTCATGTAAACCCGGATACGATGAAGGTTGGATATATTTCTTCAAAATCATTAAGCGTGCGGTTGTAGGCACTTGAATATATGTTGATTTTTGGTGCATATAAGATAATGTAATATGTTGAATTACATTTTGAACCATTGTGAATGGATACCCATTAATTAATATCATTGAAATGCAATTAACTAAATCTTTTTCTAAATATTCCAAGCTTGTTCTATATATCACGCGACGTAAATAATACAATAAAGTTGTTCTTTTTACTTGGTTGGTTATATGTGAAGTATAGTGCAGCATTCGTAATGACTGTTGCTCTTTTTGGTAAAGTGATATCTGATATGAAGTAGATGTATGTATTATATTGTAGTCTAAATATGATAGACAAGGATAATTATTGTATAAAGTATTTTCGGCCTCAATTGCATATGTGACCTCATAACCAATGAGTTCCTGGAAGTTTTCAATGAATGATGGGATATCATGACGTGATATGCAGATTAGTACATCGTCCACGTATTTCCACCAAGCATGGACCTTATGCCGGTGGAATAATGCCCGATTATGAATTTCTAGTTTGGAATCTAAGTAAATGGTCGCCAATAATCCGGAAGCTGCGCCACCTTGGGGCAATCCTTCCGCTTGTTCATAGCATTTGCTATTAAATGTGAAATAATTCCCTTTTGTTAAGATATATTCCAAAGATTGAGATAAAATTGACATTGGAATTGGACAATTATTTTTAAACCATGTTAAATTCATTATATTTTTCAAAGTGCGCATAAGAGATGTCACACTGGTGCTTGGATACATATCACGAATATCCAAACTAATAAACACATAACCGGGAATAGTGTAAGTTCCAATATGTGTTTTGTAAGATGGCCCATATTAAGGAGATTATGAGATGATAAACGTGTGGATAATGCAGTTTTTAGCACATATTGTAATAATTGATGTAGTGGATGAATATACCAGTTAAGCGGACTACATATCGGACGCAATGGTTGATTAGGTTTGTGTAATTTGATAGTTCCATATAAATACGGTAGCGTAGGTGTGGAATTTTGTAACATTTTCTGTAGATTCTTGTAAATGGTTCGTGGAAATGAATTAGGATTATTTTGGTACCAATTGCACAATGGACGCACCAGTTTTCGATATATAGCGGTGAGGCGCTTTATCAAGATATTTTGATTCCCTGTATACAATACATAGGAACCCATCTCTACATTTTTATCAATCCACTCATTCATTTTCGAAATATAATCACCACGCTTTACCAAACATGTCGTTTTACCTTCATCTGCTTGTATTATCAATAAATCTTTTTGTTTTTTAATATACTCTGAAGTATAAATGTATAACTGTTATAATACTTGTTGGATTTTACTTGGATTTTGTTGTTTTAACATTATTTCCATAAAATGATGGTAATGAAGTTGCATCTCATAAGGGCTATAACGATTCAAATCAATACATTGGTCGTAAAATATTTCATTATAATTTTTCAATGCTACATAGTAATCTGTGATGGATGGTATTTTCACTGGAATATATTTTGGTCCGAAACTCAACAATACTTGTACTTCTTTAGGCACACGCCTACCACTAAGATTGTAGAAGCCGCCAGGAATCAATTAAGGGTGAAAATGGCATTAAGCTCATCATTAGGTATTTGATCAGAATATAAATTATCCACTATAGACCTATTCAAATTTACCAAATATGGATTTCGGAATGGAGCAACATCGTTGGATGTTGAAAATATTGATATTGACACAGGTGTAGAGTTTATCGGAACAACTCGAGGTGCAGTAGTAGCCATAGAATACGTAATTGGAACATAAGCTAATATGAGAAATATAATAACATAAGTTATAATTGTTATGTGATTATTTGGGTATAGAATTTTAAATTTTATTAGAAGACTTATATATATTATACTTTTAATAAGTAATAATATAAAATTTAAAATACAACAATTAAAATATTTTCTGGTTTGATTTAGATTTCTAACTAAACTTTAAACTTTACAATAATAATTTTTTGGTATGATATGTATATAATATACCTATTTGATGTATTGGTGTTGAATGTGATATGACTATTTGTGGATGGATATCGTTATTAGATGTTTGATCTAGACCAGTCATTTCATTAGGTACTGAGAAGTTTTGATTCATACAATTAGAAGATTGGCGCAGATTTGGTGGTATTTGTGATGGAGGTACATCTTTTATGCAGCATTATGGTTAGTTGATATGTAAAAGAACAAATTTATAGAAATTTTAAAAAAAAATTTCTAAATATTTGTATTCCTTCACTACTTCTAACGCTCCACCATTTAAGTTCCAAATTTCATTCCTTTTAATTCCTTTTGAATATCATAATTTTAGATTTAGAAATATTTATTTTAAGTTTCCATATCATACAGTAGGAATATAATTCATTGATCATAGTTTGCATCTTTAAAGGTGAGTCCGCTATAAGTACTAAATCATCTGCATATAATAGTAATTTAATACATGTACCATTTATTAAGATACCTTCGGAAAGATAATTGTTTAAATCGTCTATGAACAACGCAAAAAGAAGAGGGCTTATCAAGCAACCCTGTTTTACTCCTGTGTTCGAAGAAAACCACTTAGAAAGACTGTTTCCATCCCATACTGCTGCAGTCTTGTTACAATATAACGCCCTCAGTATGTTTATCATTTTTGTAGATACACCATAATTACTTAATTTATAAAACATAGCATCTCTGTCGATAGAATCAAATGCGGCTTTAAAGTCTACAAAAAACACGTACAATTTTTTTCCTTTTTCAACGTATAATTTTGCAATATTTGTCAGAATAAAAACATTGTCCACAGTTGAGTAACCTCGCCTGAAGCCTGCTTGAAATTCACTTAGTAGTTTTTTATCGTCGACCCAACTTTGCAGACGTTGATGTAATATGCCTGTAAAACCTTTTGCTATCGAATTTAAACATGATATTCCTCTATAATTTTTTACTTCATGCGGATCACCTCCTTTAAATAGTGGAAAAACTATTGAATTTTTAAAACATCCCGGTACTTCTGCATTATCGTATATGTAGTTGAAAATCTCTGTAATCCTTGTGATACCTTCAGCTGAAGCATATTTTAAAAATTCTGCTGGAATTCTATCTTCACCAGGCGCTTTATTTTCTTTGCAACGCTCTAAAACCTCTATTAATTCAACTACCTCGATTTTTTTTGTCTAATTCATTGATTTGAGTTAGTGGTTCTGCGTAGCTAAAACGACTTATATTCTTTTATAAGAATAAAATTATATGCTTAAATTATATATGCTTTAATTATATGCTTAAAAGTTTTTCGAAATAAGTACCTAGAACACCAGAATTAAGATGCACTGACTTACTGAAATTTATGCCATTTACTTTACGTACATTATTCCAAAAGCTTTTGGAGTCTTTTACTGATGATAATGATAAGACAAGATCATTAGTGTTTTGGATTCTTTTATTATAGCAAATAATTCTGTAACCGTTTTTGGCTGACTTATACTCATTCCAATCTGAGGCTAGGCCCCTTTTTCTCGCCATCTTTAAGTTATTAAAACAGTTTGTCCTTGCAATTTCACACTCTTTATCGAACCAATCTTTATTCCATTTTCTCTTCGTTGGCCCTAGTTGTAATGGACTAGCAGCTTCATTTATTTCTGTTGTAAGTGCTGCTATCATTTCATCAGCTGTAGCTTCACACATTACATTACTGTTCAATAATTGGTCAAGATTAATCTGATATAAGTTCAAATATTGTTTTTTCCATTTAAGCTTAGGTAGTAGATTCATATTTTTGCAGTAGTTTATATGATTTAATTTAAGCGTTACTTCCACGAGTAGATGGTCAGAGTAGATTTTCTCTTGTATACTAAGTTGCTGTATAATATTTAGAAATAAACCTTTTAAAACACAATAATCAATTGTTGACGTTGCTCTATAACGCGCAAATGTTATTTCGCCCTCTAAATCGTCACTAATTCTACCATTCATTACTGTGAGCCCTAGAGCATTAAACAACTCTATTAATTTTTTTCCGTTCCTATCTAGAGTTAGATCTTTTGCATTTCTTTGTAACTTTGCGTTTCCTTGGGGTAATTCTGGAATAAACTCAATAGCTTGTTCATTTCCTATTCTTCCATTAAAATCGCCTATAACCATCACATTCATATTGTCTATATCATATAGTGCGTCCCTTAAGTCGGTGAAATCAGCATCCCAATTATTACAATTTATATACACTGGAACAATGTAGGCCTTTTGATCTTCCAATTTTAGCTCAACCACCATAAAATTAGCCATCTTATTAAATTGCGCTATTCCATTATCATACACTTTTTTCTTAATACCATAGAGCATTCCACCACTGGCACGCCCCCTGCTGGCTTGTTTTGTTGCAGGCACCCAATGTAAAACATGATTTTTAATTTTATTTACAATGTAGTCTACCTCATTTTCTAAGAAAGTTTCATACAATAAAAATACATCAAAATTATTTAAATAGTTAAAAAAATCATTATATATTAGTTTATTTTTAAGACCTGCTACATTATATGATAAGATTTTATAAGTAAATTCTGTTTTTAACTCTACATTATTTTCTATATGAGCATTAATATTTTCAGTTTCATTATTTCTGTGTTCACAATATCTTAAATATGCAGATTGTGAACTATTTAGTTTTTTGATTTTTCCAATAAATAACTATAGCTTAAATATAAAGTATCTATTCTATCACCATAAACTTTTTTTAGAACGTCATTAGCTGGCTGCTTATTATTTACTAAAATACCTGCGCTGTTGAAGTACATCCATTTGCCGTCTATCTTAATGGACTCATTGCGTACAAATACCTTTTGACCATTGTCCAACGACATGAGCTGCTTTTTCAACTGCATTAAAGCCCGTTTTTTCTGAAGCTGCACCTCACTCAAATCTCTCTCAATATATATCTTTGAACCCACCAGTTTTTTTTTTACTTCTGAGCACCTGCTGCGCCATCTCAGTGGTATCAAGACTTACAACGATGTTCATTTTATTGTTTTTTTCGTACATTAATCGCGTATTTTGAATTGATATATCGTAAAGCCCCAACTTATCATTGCATAGTTTTTTGAATGCGTTATTTGGCGATTCTTCTTTAACCATGCCTTTCACTATCAAGTTTCGCTTTTTCATTTCTATAACTATTTTGTTGAGTTCTTTTCGATCCAGGTCTCTATCTTTTTTTAACTGCTCAACTTTCATCTTAAGTCTCTGGTTTTCGAGCTGCAACTCTTCAATTTTATTCAGCATTTGTTTTTTCATGTCTTCGATGTCTGCTTTCGACGCTAGTTGTTGTATTTTTTTTATTGACTTTGCTTTCACTGCTTTGGATTGTTTTTAAAATGTCTTGCAACGAAATGTCGGGCGATGTTTCAGTCAGTTTTCTTTTTGCGGATTGGCTTATCAAAGACGTATTCGACGATGTTCTTTCCATGTTGAATTAAGAATTAGAGTTTTTAGAAAAAATATATTTTTAATGAAGCTATTAAAGTCTTTTCAAATATTATTGTTTCAACTTAATTTACGGTCTACTTTCAGGTATTTTACAACACAAGCACGTATAGTGGTGACAACAACCCCTGTTCTTAAAAAAAAACAAAAAAAGCTTGATAGTTAGTTTGAAAGCTGGTTTTAAATATCAGAATATAACACGGCGAATATAAATATTTTTCGCTTGTTTTTATAAGGAACTGTAATTCTAGTTCTTGTCTGGCGAAGTCTCACTTTCAAATCATAAAGTACATTTACTTATTTATTTATTTACTTATTTACTTATTGGTTCACTTAATTCACTGAACTCAATAGCACTGCGTTAGCAGACACTTTTAATTCTTAGAAAATTTTCGAGTATCACTAATTAAACACAATTATACTAATAAATTTTAAAATATACCCCGCGCTCGAGAACTTTTAATACTTCGCTTTATTAGGGTTACCAAACCTTTTTCTTTAACGTTGGTGTTATACATAGCCAATTTTTCCGATTTTCCGACTTAATTAGTTGGTAACCTGCATAAATTGCAGAACCATAGGTGCTAGGTTTTTCTTCCGTTAATGAAGTGGGCAATAGTTCGCTCACTATATCACCTCTAAACAAGAGCTATAATATCGACAAACTTAACAGAATTCAGAGGACGGCATGTGTAGGCATCACAGGAGCTTTTAGGACGACTCCTTCGGACGCCCTAAATGTGATGCTGCATTTGCTACCTATTGATCTTCACATTAAAAACATGGTTTGTAATAGCGCTGTAAGACTGAAAGTAACAGGCGTATGGTTAGAACGAACATATGGATATAGTCGGATTCTAGGTACAGTGCCAAATTGTCTGTATAGGATGACATCGGATTATCTGAATCCGTGTATAGACTTCGAAAGGAACTTCCAGACAATATTCCCTTCAAGAAATGAGTGGTAAAGGAAAAATTTCGAAGCAAATTACGATATCTCAATATATACAGATGGCTCGAAAATGAGCGGTGGGGCTGGAGCAGGAATCTTCGCACCATCTAAAAATATAAATATCTCTCTTAGGATACCTAATGAAGCTACGGTTTTTCAGGCTGAAATCCTAGCAATAAAAGAAGCCTGTCGGCAAATTGCAAGCCACATCGAGAACAGATGTAGTGTTGCTATTTTTATTGACAGCCAGGCAGCAATTAAAGCTCTTGAATCCTTTATAACAAAATCAAAAATAGTAAAAGAATGTAGAGAAGCAATCGACGAGCTAAACCGGTTGGCCGATATCACACTCATCTGGGTTCCTGGGCATAGGAACATCGTAGGGAATGAGAAAGCTGATAGTTTAGCCCGCTCTGGTGCCTCCCTAGATGCGTCACTGGCGGTATCAGTCTATATTACCCTGGAGACCATCAAAAGAAGTACCTTTCTTTACTTTCTGCAACTCGCCAATAACAGATGGAAAGCACTAAGGTCATGTGCAACTTCCAGGTTAACGTGGCCCACTTATAATAAAAATAAATCTCTGGAACTCATCAAAAAAGATCGCGTAAACACTGCAAGGCTTATCGCGGTTCTTACTGGTCATTGGTGGTTAGGAACTCACGCAGAGAAACTGCGTATTCCCCATAACTCTCACTGCAGAAGTTGTGGAAACCCGCGGGAGAAAGAAACAATAATACATTTTCTCTGTGAATGCCCAGCTCTAGCATCCAGAAGATATAGGTTCTTTGGAAAATACTTTTGTGATAGTTTATCAGACTGCTCAATGGTAAGGATGAAAGACCTGTTAAATTACCTAAATTCGGTGGGATGGATTTAGTCTCTACTCTTCTATACTAGGGTTCTTGCGAGGAATGTGGTAACAAAACGGCGAAAAATCGCTAATTGAGGTACATTTGAAGTTATCTTATGACCTGCCACTGCAACCAACCAACCAACCATATCAGGATCATCACCTGGTTCTACTCTAGAAGTTAAAACTATTTGAGCAATTGAACCACTTAAGTCATTTCAGAAAATTTTGTGCTTACGTTTTTAAATGTGGACGACTGTGCTAGAATGTCAGATATTGCATTAATCAATCCAGTATTAATAGCCGTGTTTGGCTTGGAATTGAGAAATGACTCTGGCGTCACGTCGTAGGTGAAGGCTAAGTCTTTAGCCTCAGGTCTTCGCGATAGCAAAAATTTAAACCCTAGTAAATTAGAATTTACTGGAGCAGTTGGGGTAGATAATACACTTGTATATCTACCGGGTGAAACATCAGACAATGCATTTTGTATTGCATCTGCTAACACTCCTAGACAAGGGATTTCCTCATAAAGATTATGAGTATTTTCATCAATTGGACCGTAAAAGCCTATTTTACCAGATACTTCATTAGTCGGGAGTGTGGGGAAAGCAGAAAAGCGGTGCTGTCCTAGTTTAGTTGTAATATTTCCAATTCCACGAAGAAATATGGAAATAGGTTCGAGAAGGGTGTAACTTCGATTCTTGGTAGTCTCGAGAAGCCACAACTCTTCCGAGGAGAGATCCTCCTGATTTACACTTTTTAGGTGTACTAACCGAACCTATAGACAAAATGTGTGATAGTAATCCACATATTCAGGCAATAACTCTTTAGTCATTTGAACGTCATCAGTCTTCAGTTGTTGATAGGCTGACCTTGCACCTCAATAAACCCAGTAAGACTAGGAGTAAATTGAATGCGCGAATTTCGTTCTCTGACTACTATGCCAGGGCTAAAGATTGACTCAGCAAATGGATCACCTGTTTTTAAGACTTCGTTTACTGGCGGCCTATTCTTAGCCGGGGTTGGTCTTGGTGGTAGCTTATTTGCTTTATCATCACTCTTCGGTTTGTTGTTTTGACGATGCTTATTGTGTGCATTTGCATCGATTTGATTATCAGGTTTTCCAAAATAAATTTTTGGGCCTGGTTTTTGTTGTTGTTGTGTGGATTCCATATTTAAATTAATTTAAATACGAATGTGATTAAGATGATAATGTAAAATTCTCAACTTAAAGGTCAAAGTATTATAATGAATATAAAACTTTGGGAAATCTTTCGATTTTGGAAGCGACAGCTTGGCAACATTTACATAAAATATATATATATATATGAATATATACATATATATAAAGATATATAAAAATCGATGAAATATGTATAAAAATATGTAAATATAAAAATATATAAAAATAAAGTATACATATATGTTTACGATGAAAATAATAAAAAAAAAGGAAAACCAAATTCACAGTTTATATACAAAATGAATTTTAGATTTATTATGTTAATTGTATTGAAATTCATAATATGGAAGTAGAATGAACTTAGTAATGTTTATGTATGAAAATTATATATTTTCTAATAATAATATTTTATTGTTTTATTTTAAATTATGTAATTTAAATTAGATTTATTAGTTATTAGTTAAATTAGTTTAATTAACTCAAAATTTCACAATATGTAAGTATAAAGAACTAAGTAAAAGTTTATGTACGAAACTTTATATATTTTCTTAAAATTATTCGTTATCTTGGAAGAGTCTTCAAGTGCAATAACGAATTGTGATTCCTGCAGCACTTATTACAGCGGTTACTTTTGTATTCTGCTGCCCTATGGCGTGTACGTAGGCAGTTCAAGCACAATTTAAGTTCCTGTACTGTTTTGATACGACATTGTGGTGTTGGTTGCAAGAATGTTTTGCAATAATATATCGAATGTGATCCATTATTGCAGACCTTACAGTTTGATATATTTTCCTTTTATATAGTTATGGCAAGGGTTTTCGCTGAGCATGGCTTATCCTTATGGCCAATCGCTTTTAAGGACTGAAATCTAGATTCCAAGAAAGTCATAAACTCCTTAATTGACTGAATCTCTCTTGGATGAGTCAGCGACCGTTCATACAAAATGCGAGTCTACTTATCTAGTTTGAGGAGCAAACTATAAAGCAGCAGCGGCGACCATGCATCAGTTTCTAGTCCCACATTTTTCAGGGCCAGCAATCCTTCAAATGTAACATCATGTAGTGTCTATATTTCTGCTGCTGAAGGATTGGTTGATATTGTTGGTTGATTTAAAATTTTCTGAATTATTGTTGCTACAATAATTCTTTTGTTGTTGTATCGTTCTTGTAGCAAGTTCCACGCCGTTTGATAATTCTCACTGGTTACTGACAGATGCCGGACCAAACCTTCTGCTTTTCCTGATAAACTACACTTGAGATACCACATTTTCTGAGCGTTAGGAAGCTGCTGCTTGTGAATCATTTCAGTGAACAAGTCATAGAATTGACACCACTTCAAATAATCGCCGTCAAATTTTGTATTGTCTGGTTTACTGATTCCTTGTGTCATTATTTGTCTTCATTGCAGCTAGCGAAATTAAAGTTGACTGAACCAATTCCTCTATTTCGAGGTACTCGTCGAGTTTATATGCCACTGTAGTCGGATTGTTGGTGTACTCCCAAATTTCAAAATTAATGGCTTCAATTTCATTCCATAGCTTTTCAATTCTTGCCATATTCACTTCGTAAAATGATTTCATCTGAACGCCTGTTTGACTATTGATGCCTGCTATGAGTCGCTTCAGTGATACACAAATTGCACCTTGTTTGTGTATCATTCGTGCTATACTTGCACCATGTTCTCCTTTCCTTGGT